TCTAAAATAGTCTCAAAAAGTGCAAAAAATCTTGTCAAACATAAACCTTTCGACAGCCAGCGTACTTCAGTGTGAAGGAGTAATTGATGAAAGTGTTCGACATTTTCTTCACACAACTGCGCGTATTCAACGTGTTGCTTCGGATTCGGTTTACTGGATCAATGACTAAATGAAGTGATTCATGCAATCTAACAGTCAAATTTTTAGCAACTAAATGTTGTCGATGGATGACGCAATGTATTGCTAACACCCGTGACACATTTTGTTTTAAATAGCTTATAAATTCACGATAACGTCCAACCATGGCAGGTGCTCCATCTGTAGCTACCGATATTATATTTGATAAAAGAATTGCTTTTTCAATGAAGTAATCCTTCAAAACATGAAATATTGATTCACCTTTAGTGTCGGTTATCAAAGTTCTTGCGAAGAGCAGTTCTTCGTACATTTCTTGATTCATAATAAACGGAACATGTGCCAATAATAATGCTGCATTATCAGGTAAAGTTGACTCGTCCAGTTGTATAGAGAAATGGGTCGTTTGTAAATAATCACATAAGAAGCTTTCAATATCAGAACTCATTTCATCAATACGTCTTTCAACAGTATTGTTGCTTAAGAGAATTCTTTTAATGATATCAGATGCAGGTTTGTGTAAAACAGTTTCTAAAACCTCTTCAACGGCTGGCAAAATTAACTTCTCTAGTATGCGGTTTTCCGGATTTTGCTATAAGTAACGAGATATTCTAAGACGCCCGCAAACCATCATCATTTCTTTGTGACGTCGAAGCGAACATTCTGTCCAGTAGGTCTCTTCTGAAATTTATCTTTGAGTGTTTGACAGTATTTCAAATCTTTCTCTGTTTTATCAGGGTGGCATCTTCTCAGATGATCTTGCAGTTTAGATGGTTTCATAGCGTCATTGCCCAAAACTTTGTTGCATAAAAGGCACATAGACGATTGTTTGTCCGGCAATGATGGAATGAAGCCAAATTTCAAATAATCAACACTGTACTGTCTACATTTCTTTTTAGATTCGGACATGGCATCAGTCATCTGTGGGCAAAATTAAATTATTTAAATAAGACAGAAAATCCAGCAGCTGTATATTAAAAATATTTTTTGATTTTTCCGAAAACATTCCATAATTCGAACATCTTCTTGCAACAATTAGCTCGAATTACGGAGATAATTATATTACCGATTGCTAAAACTTTCAAAAAGAAACTATTGAGGAGTACTCGTGTAATTTTGCATGATTGAATATTTAACTACTAATAACTAAAGTCATGATTGGCGTAATTTATCTATCTTTGCTAACTACGAGTACAAAACTAAAATTTAATAAAAAATAATGTACTTACTTTTCTCCAGCACTTTCAAACAAAATAACACTGACTACTCACTATAATTTGTGTGATATACTATCTGTTTATATTTTTTAAAATATTTTCTTAGCACCTTCCTTTTCAAGATTCAGGAAACCCATAAACGTATTTGTCCCACATTCGTATTTATAGAGTAACGAATTGAACAAGTCAGTGCAAGGTAGCGAAGCTCTGAGACTGCGACTCTCAGGTTTTTACAAGTTCAAAATGTATTGCGACCACAAAGCGAACACCAACATCCTACAACTTACACAATTTTATAAATATATATAATAATGTTTTTACTTCATAGGTACTTTTATAAATAATGTATATGTTTTGATATTATAAGATAGTATGATGTAAGTAAATAGGTAGTATCAGTGTATGTGTTGAGATCCACTATCGTGGACCCCCATATTCATTTCATGGACCCCACAGAAAATAGTCTATCGGTGTTAAATCATAAGATCTTGGAGGCCAATTCACAGGTCCAAAACGTGAAATTAGGCGGTCACCAAACGTGTCTTTCAATAAATCCATTGTAGCAAGAGCTGTGTGACATATTGTGACGTCTTGTTGGAACCACAGCTCCTGGACATCATGATGGTTCAATTCAGGAATAAAAAAGTTAGTAAGCATGGCTCTATACCGACCACCATTGACTGTAACGTTCTGGCCATCATCGTTTTTGAAGAAGTACGGGCCAATGATTCCACCAGCCCATAAAGCGCACCAAACAGTCAGTTTTTCTGTATGTAACGGTGTTTCGACATAGACTTGAGGATTAGCTTCACTCCAAATGCGGCAGTTTTGTTTGTTGACGTAGCCATTCAACCAGAAGTGCGCTTTATCGCTAAACAAAATTCGCTTATGAAAATCGGGAACAACGGCAATCTCGTTTTGGGTCCATTCAACGAATCTACGCATTGCTTGATGATTGTTTGGCTTCAATTCTTGCACGAGTTGGATTTTGTAAGAACGCAAATCAAGATCCTTCCGCAAAATCTTCCATAAAGTGGATGGACACAGATCCAAATCCTGTGCTCGATGGCGGATGGACCCATTCGGGTCTTTCTCAATGCTACGCTCTACAGTAGCAATAGCTTCTTCTGTATGCACCGTACGGCGTCTATGGGGATGCGAGTTATCAATTAGAGTAAACTTGTTGCGAAAACGTTCCATGGTTAATCGAATTAACTGCTCTGATGGACGATTTTGTCGACGATAAAATGGACGTAGTGCGCGATACATATTCTGCACAGAACCATTATTTTCGAAATAAAACTGCACAATTTGCAAGCGTTGTTCAGGCGTGAGTTTATTTATGATGAATTGCCAAACCAAACTGAGAATTAATCCTTTGACAGCTGTCAAATCGGTCGTCATCTTCAAAAGTAATGCCAACTTAAAGTTCTATACCTCGAAAAAAAACACCCGTTACGTCCAGAACTAGGAGGCTTTTTTCAGTTCTACTATCTAGAAAAATTCACTTACGTTGGCTGCCGTTATTAACTGTAAGCTGGAACGCATCGCTAATCGTTTAAAGTTACCTCAAAGATCTTTGCACGGCTTCATGTCATGAGAACTTGTGTAACAATGTAATTTGGCATAGATATTAAAATTATCTTAATAACAGAATATATTGGCATACTTGGATCTGTACTTGAAATTTTGATGGGCCACATCAGCTTTATGTATATTTTGCACGTAATTATTTTATTTCTACAAAATGCCTACGTAGCAGTTTTTGGTAATTTTAAGAAGTAACCAGCAACAGCACGGCCAGACATCGTCTCACTCAACCTGCGACCGTCAAGCGCTTCACACGCTATATTTAGCTGTTACCCGTGGCTTCGTATGCTTCAAACTGGCACTAACCGAAAGTATTGTTTCCGATTAATGATATAGGCTTCCGGACACGTTTTGTATCTTTCATAGCATTAGTGAGTTGTCAGCCAATTTGCATGATTGGGATATTTGGTTACTTTATTAGTGAGATCACCTAGACGTCAGAGGGCAGAAACGTAGTCAACAATATATTCATCCTTTTCATTTGCGTATTGCAACATTTCCTCTAGTGACTGGCCTATATTCGCAGGGTGTTGCTTTAGGTCACGGGTGCATAAGCGGGAGACACAATTTCGCGTGTCATAAATAAAATTATATGACTTCCCGTTAAATGAATGTTGTGGGATACACAGCATGATTCGTTCCGTTCAGCCTGCTGCCGGAACCTTTAACTACGTAATGGATATCCTTGTTTGCTCAGACCAGGATAACATACAATAGTAGATCCCAGTATCTGTTATCATATTAATATATGTAGGTACTCACAATGTTTGAAGAGAAAAACTAACAACAACCTTTGGTGCAGTATAGTGCCTCCAACACAAAATATTCCCCTCAAAACATTCATGGCCATCTGCAGCGCCTTACTTAACTGAAGCCTAATCTAAGGCAAACTAAGACAAATTTCTGTTGCACCACTATTCTAAGTGAAACTCAAATGTCCAAAAGATAAACCGAAGATTTATTGAGCTTGAGTTGCACATAACCCGAAAATACATACAGGAAAATAGTATTGTTTTGTTTTTCAGTCATGTTATGATGGTTATGGAGGGGTTTGTGAGGAAATATCATGGAACGCTTAAAATAATTAGATCAAATTAGCCCCATTATAATACGGAATTCCGACATTAACACTTTTTCATCAGATACTAGTGCCCTAACACGAGGGATGTCTTTTAAGTTTTGCATATAGAAACTTAGTAAGCCGCGCGGATCGAACTTCACAACTGAATCTTAACCTCACTCTTCAGTAAACTTAAATTCAAAGTTTCACAACAATACGTGCAGTGTTCTCAGTACAGTGAATTTTTAAGTGTCACCAAGTCATTAGAAAAATGGAACTCAACCGAGAACATTTTCGCGTCATAATTTATTACAACTTTCAGAGACAATTATCCCAACAAGCTGAGTTACTGTCAGTTTTCGGTAACGAAGCGCCACATCAGTTGACAATTTCCCGTTGGTATGGAGAATTCAAACGTGGACGGGTGAGTCTTAGCGACGATCCCAGGGTGGGTGCACCAAAAACGGCAGACACCCAGGAAAACGTCGATGCTGTGCGGAAACTCATCATTGAAGATAGACATGTGACATACCGCGAGATTGAGGCGTCCTTGAAGATCTCAAAGACCTCGATTCAAAAAATTTTACATGAAGAATTAGGAGTAAGAAAATTAGTTTCTCGTCGGATACCCCTCCTGTGGCCTGAAGAGCAGAAAGCAGCCAGGGTTAATTGGTGTCAAAAAACGCTTGACCGTTTCAATTCCGGAAACTCAAGAAATGTGTACAGCATTGTTAGTAGTGATGAATCGTGGATTTACTGTTATGAACCAGAAAATAAACGACAGTCGGCTGTTTGGGTGTTCCAAGGTGAAGAAAAGCCAACAAAAGTCATCCGTTCTCGAAGTGTTTCGAAAAAGATGGTTGCGACATTTGTCTCAAAAGCGGGTCATATTGCAACAATTCCTCTTAATAAGCAAATAACTATTACTGCGGATTGGTATACCACCATTTGTTTGCCAATAGTCATCACCGAGTTTCGAAAAATCAACCCCGAAAGAGGAATCATCCTCCACCAAGACAATGCAAGCTCGCACACAGCTCAAAAAACAAGTCAGTATTTAACGGAAGAAAACGTGGAATTATTGGACCATCCTCCATATAGTCCCGGTCTAAGTCCTAACGATTCCTTTACTTACCCGAAAATTAAAAAGAGACTGCGTGATCAAAGGTTCCAGTCACCAGAAGAAGCAGTTGACGCATTTAAAAATGCAGTTTTGGATCTGCCAGCAAACGAGTGGAATAAGTGCTTCGAAAATTGGTTCGAGCGCATGCAGATGTGTATCAATCTTCGTGGAGAATACTTCGAAAAACAATAAAGTCATTTAAAACTACATACCGTGTTGTTTTATTTCTAGATGCAGAACTTAAAAAGACATCCCTCGTAGTGATTTCTAATGTTTCCTAACACTCCTTGGTCTTAGGATAATTTTCTGGTGGTCCGCATGGGTATCATGTAAAAAAGCTAAAAAACGTTAAAAAACCTACAATATGTCATCTTGCAAACTAGGTAGTTTTTAGGGCGCAGTCATTCCACGTTTGTTCACTAAGATCGTAGTGAACGTCCATCTAAGGAGGAATCACTCAACTAAAATAAATGCACTATTGGTTGCAAATGTTTTGTGGGGCCAAGATCGCATCTTGATGATTATGTGTATTGATCTGCATGTGTATAAAATCAGTGCTGAGTGAGAAAATCATCACTGAAAATGTTGCCAATGAAGTATATCTACTGGCTGAGCCCGACGGGTTATTTTTATGTTGTGCTTTCTGAAGAGAGGTTAGGTTCAAAGTTATCAATTACGAAAAACTCGGGAAATCATCACCGGCCCGCGTTGTGTGTAATTACTGTTATCATGTATATGACTTGTAATTCGACAGTGTACAGTTAATATAATTCTTTCTTATCTCTCGCATTTTTTACATTCAGCAAATTTGTATATGTAATTGCCAGAATGGATAAGAAAAAGTGGATGCGCAACTAATTTCTAGCTTTGAATCTCAATTAAGTGTATTTGAGACAAAAACCCAATGTAATTATCATCAACACATACAACTCACAGATTAGACCTCCAGTAATGCCATCTCAGAAGCAGATTTTATATCACATCAGAGCCAAAGATTAATAACAAGCCTCATGACGCTGAGGCAACACGTACAACTAAGTGCTAAGTCTTGTAGAAAAACCTACATCATGTCAAAAAAACAGCATATCAAAAAAAATCGGCATAATGTCACTTAGTAATAAATATTCTTTTTGTAGGGAAAAATTGGGGGCTCTTTTTTGCAGCAGAACTCATAATGTAAAACTAATCTGTGATAAATAAATATTTCACACCCGTCAAATATGAGGATTTCTGACATGATATGACAGCACAAAAGTAGAGTTCACTTGATCCGCAGTGCTCACTAGTTCAAAAGTAGAAATTCCTACATGGTTGCCAAGTAGTACGCTTAGCTAAGCACCGTTCAAGATGCGACGGTTGCAACATAAAATCAATCTAAGGTGTACCTTAAACATAAGCTTCACTTTGCTAAGTGGTATATTAAAGAAAGCTGGTGCAAACGGCCATCAAACGAGCAACAAAGCTTGAAGGATAACCGGTTTTATTACCTTCTCTGGTGTTTAGGCTTTAGCTCCGCGGCTTCTTGGGTGTCGAAGATCTGTACCCAGTACTAACTTTTTATCAGCTGCTAGCGAATACTATTTCAGGTTTTGAGGAATGCTTAAATTCCCTGACAGTTTACAACCTGTCTATTATTTATCCTTGATCAGTTGTTCCCACAACCGTAAGCTATATGGCTCCATTGTGATTAATGATACTATGAGATCGTAGAACAACGCAGTATGGAATACCACAAGGGACTGATTGGCACCGATATTATTTAACGTCTACGTTAACAAACTATATTTACCAGAACATCGAGGAAAGATCATAAGTTTTGCTGAGGACACGGCCATCACATACAGTTCCCAAACCTGGGAAAATCTAAAAACTCTAACAGAAACAGAATTTTGCAAGATTATCAAATGGTTCAACTCTAGACTTTTGACCGTAAATTACAACAAAACTTGTTGCATCCCATTTTCCTCCTGTTTCGGCCCAAATATTCAAATTTAACCATAAAGCTGAAAAACAACCAAAATGGACAAGTACAAATAACATCTTCGCCCAATGTCAGATATCTGGGAGTATACCTAGATTCTACCCTTAAATGGGGCACACACATACATTTCCTAATTAAAAAATTGCGTACAATACTATACAAATTTAAATACCTTATGAAATACTATGACTTGTATCAAATGAAAGTTCTCTATTATTCACTAGTTCAGAGCCATTTGAGGTATGGTGTGATGGCGTGGGAAGCAGCGTGTAAGCCGTACTTGAAAAATCATGAGACAATACAAAAGTGCATTCTAAAGGTAATATATAATAAGCCAAGAACATACCCAACAGAACAATTATATACCGAAAGCACAGTGCATGATATTCGACAACTATACTTCATCCAGACCATCATGAAGCAGCACGAACTAAAACATAAGCCAAACTGAGCACAACTATGATACCCGCCTTAAAGTAGGAGCATGTTTGCCGAAGCCTAATGTCAATGCCATGCAGAGATCATTCCAATGCCTAGGACCGAAGCTTTATAATAGTTTGCCCATCGCGTTAAAACAGTGTAATTTTATGAAGTTTATAAAAGAACTAAAAAACTGGATGAATGAAATACCTCGCCTCCACATACATCAGCTAATTCTTTCAAATATATATAAAAACATTTAAAACCTTTTTCTTTTAATTGTTAAAGAATTCTCCTGAAAGTTTTGAATATATACGGTTAAGCATATCCAAGCGAATGAACTTTTCACCTTCCTAATATGCCATTCTCTGATACGTCGCACACCCGATTATGACTATTATACCTATGATGACAATTATACTGATACTCGTATATACTGAATATTGGATAGACATCTCAGCACGCACAGGTTTTGCCTTCTGTGGGTACTTCATATTTATTTTCACGTTATTTTTATCTCACCTGGAACATTTGTAATTGTAATTGAAAACAAATAAGTATTATTATTATTGTCAGGGTTCTCAACCTCTTCGATCGTTGGAACCTTAGTAAAATTGGTTAAGACCTTATCTCACAACACCTCTCTGTCCCAATAAACTTATTCAAGTGTCATTTACGTCTATATTACGGTTCCATAATAGGGAGTTACATTTTACTATGCTTGTAAGTACTTGATTCTAGTTCTAGTCATTGTAGTATCCTTGTTTGAAGCGCTAAGAGCATTAATATTGCTGGTTGTGTGTCAAAATTTACCGCGACAACTGTTGCTTTCAACAGAAGTGTCACCATTTAGTAGCTGTTTAGTTGTGGTAGTGGTCGAACATTATCGGGCGAAAATTAAACATTATTCATATATAAATATTTGTGCCTGAAAATCAACGTATAAAACTGACGTCAAGTAGGTAATCGTGCACTTCCCACGCGACGTTGTCATGAATTCATTAAGGATTGAATTCGGCACAAGTTAGCCTCTCTCAGAAAAGAGTTGGCTACGAATATTTATAACAAAGGAATGGAATGGCTTGTGTCCGTCAAACAGACTGATACAATTTTTTGCTAGTCCTCACAGATTTCACAGGACTGCAACCTAGCCTACCATCCTATCGATAGTACCGAGCACCCAAAAGCGTGGCAACCCAGCACGACGTTGCTCATGCGGATATACAAATCTACGTTGTATGAAATATGTCTAATTGGTGGATCGAGTTACCAGGATGAAAACGTATAGACTGCTAGCATTAAAAAATGAACATATACACCTCCTACAACCCTCAACATCCAATTTTTAAGCCCTGAAAGTTTTTTTCTGAAAATGATCAGGATCCTCTGAAACATTAAAAAATGAAGTTTGAGCGATTTAATTTTTTTGCAGCCAGTGGACCGATTTTCAAAAACTAGAAAGCTTTTTCTTTTAGACGGGCCAAGGATTACCCGACAGACAAACAAACAGACCGACAGACAGGCGGACCGATGGAAATGAGTGACATGATTTTCGTAATGTACATATCAAATAAAATGCAAAAACATAATATCTCATTTTGAATGTAATGAAAATTTGGATTTTTTATTAGTAACATCTCAAAGCAATTCACGGTGGAAAGGATCCGCTAATTTACATCGCATGATTCATTTTTCGAATCTGTCAACGATACTGTGCCCCCTCAAAACGAATAGAGAGAGAAGAGTAAATAAATTGGAACGTTGGAAATAATTACGTTTTGAGGTTGCCTGGCTCGTATTGAGAGGAAATTCACTTTGGAAGGCGACCATCGTGACTTGAATCTGAAGTAGGTTGTGTAATGCACTGGAAGGAATTTCCTGTGTACGAGGGGAAATCTCCCTGTGGGGTGTTAAAAAACACCCACCTTCGGATACTCAAATAGGGGATATACCGTATAAGAAATGAACTGGAATTTCAAATTTGTAATTATAGTGTTGCCAGTATTGGTCCTACCTGTGGCCACTTAGCGCTAATATCTCACTTCTATACATATAGTCTAAATATATTAGCCAAGTTCCCCGAAATAATTGTAAAGTCTTATTGGTGCAAGTTGTTCAATGGAGTATTTAAAACATGGACACATAAAATGGGTACACCAATTTTTGTGGGAAAATTTTTTATTTGACAACAAAGAATGAGAAAACGTGTTTCTTGGGATTCAAATGAAAGTGTTGACAGGAAAGAAAAAACTTTTCATACTAGATTTTCAGGTATTTATGAGACCTACAAAATGAGACCACGCGTAAAAAGATCCGACAAAAAGCAAAAACATGGCCGATACGTTTTTGGTTTTGCTGTGCTGCATTTTAGTTTTGGTATTGCAAACGTCGATGCCCAACAGACTAGGATAATACAATTTTTGCCAGGACAGTTGCAGAGATAGCAAACCAATTGTTGTTTCAAATACTTAGCAACTGAAAATGACATTTCTTCATATCCTCACTCACATGTAAAACATACTCCCTTTTCACGGAAAATTGAGGCAATTTTGTAATATATTGAAACACCTCCAAACTAACGGTTAATTATTGTTAATAAGT